GGCGGGCAAGTTGGCGACGTAGAACGTGGGCGGACATTATGCAAATGTGTTACTTTGTGACGTAGCGCCGTAACAGAATAAGATTCGAATTCCTGACGACTCGTTTAGGCGATTGCGAGCCGATTTTTTTTTTGATAGACAATAACTTTATTTATCGTGCACTGTCGGCTTCACAATTTTGCAGATAGTTTATGTTCACATACAGCTACATGACACACTGCATGAAAGGTAATATTCGAAAAGACATAATAGGGGCACTTTAAGAAAACATTTACTAATTTTAAATCCAGGCTTGGTGAAATAATATCACATGTGGAAGAATGAATCCATTTGGCCAAAAAATCCAAATAAACTGAGGTTTCATAGGGTGATGTTGGCAGGGTTAGCGTTAGGGTACAGTAAGCTGAGGTGAGTACAAGCGGGGTGATATTAAATTACAGCAGCATAACTATGAGCGTTTACACCACAAAGCACAGCTGAACTCGCTTCTTTACAGTCCAGCAGCACAAATCAAAGACAGGAGAAATACAATCCTTCAGCTGTCAACCCCGCTGTATTCAGGTTGTGTGTGACAGAGTCAAATTATTTGGAATTGACTTGTGATTCTTTATCAAAACTTTAGTTTTTAGGGAAATTTAGATTAAAGGAACACTCCACTATTTTTGAAAATAGGGTAATTTTCCAACTCCCCTAGAGTTAAATAGTTGAGTTTTACCGTTTTCTAATCCATTCAGTTGATCACCGGGTCTGGCGGTAGCACTTTTAGCTGTAGCTTAGCATAGATCATTGAATCTGATTAGACCGTTAGCATCTCGCTCAAAAATGACCAAAGAGTTTCAATATTTTTCCTATTTAAAACTTGACTCTTCTGTAGTTACATCGTGTACTAAGACCTAAATCGTGTACTAAAAGTTGCGATTTTCTAGGCCGATATGACTAGGAACTATACTCTCATTCCGGTGTAATAATCAAGGAACTTTGCTGCCGTACCATGAGTGCAGCAGGCGCAATGATATT